AGCCTACTGTGATTGAAACCAAAATTGCTTTAAATTGCATTTTAAAACATATCTAGGTATTATAAATGATAAAGAATGCTAATAAAGATATAAAATCGATATTTTTTTTGAAAATAGCCTACTATGATCGAAATCAAAAATGCTTTAAATTGCATTTTAAAACATATCTAGGTATTATAAATGATAAAGAATTCTAATATAGATATAAAATCGATATTTTTTTTGAAAATAGCCTACTATGATCGAAATCAAAAATGCTTTAAATTGCATTTTAAAACATATCTAGGTATTATAAATGATAAAGAATGCTAATATAGATATAAAATCGCTATTTTTTATTTTTGAAAATAGCCTACTATGATCGAAACCAAAAATGCTTTAAATTGCATTTTAAAACATATCTAGGTATTATAAATGATGAAGAATTCTAATATAGATATAAAATCGATATTTTTTTTAAAATAGCCTACTATGATCGGAATCAAAAATGCTTTAAATTGCATTTTAAAACATATCTAGGTATTATAAATTATAAAGAATTCTAATAAAGATATAAAATCGATATTTTTTTTGAAAATAGCCTACTATGATCGAAATCAAAAATGCTTTAAATTGCATTTTAAAACATATCTAGGTATTATAAATGATAAAGAATGCTAATATAGATATAAAATCGATATTTTTTTTAAAATAGCCTACTATGATCGAAATCAAAAATGCTTTAAATTGCATTTTAAAACATATCTAGGTATTATAAATGATAAAGAATGCTAATATAGATATAAAATCGATATTTTTTTTAAAATAGCCTACTATGATCGGAATCAAAAATGCTTTAAATTGCATTTTAAAACATATCTAGGTATTATAAATTATAAAGAATTCTAATAAAGATATAAAATCGATATTTTTTTTGAAAATAGCCTACTATGATCGAAATCAAAAATGCTTTAAATTGCATTTTAAAACATATCTAGGTATTATAAATGATAAAGAATGCTAATATAGATATAAAATCGATATTTTTTTTAAAATAGCCTACTATGATCGAAATCAAAAATGCTTTAAATTGCATTTTAAAACATATCTAGGTATTATAAATGATAAAGAATGCTAATATAGATATAAAATCGATATTTTTTTTTAAAATAGCCTACTATGATCGGAATCAAAAATGCTTTAAATTGCAATTTAAAACATATCTAGGTATTATAAATTATAAAGAATGCTAATAAAGATATAAAATCGATATTTTTTTTGAAAATTGCCTACTATGATCGAAACCAAAAATGCTTCAAATTGCATTTTAAAACATATCTAGGTATTATAAATGATAAAGAATGCTAAAATAGATATAAAATCGATATTTTTTTTTTGAAAATTGCCTACTATGATCGGAATCAAAAATGCTTTAAATTGCATTTTAAAACATATCTAGGTATTATAAATTATAAAGAATGCTAATAAAGATATAAAATCGATATTTTTTTTAAAATAGCCTACTATGATCGAAATCAAAAATGCTTTAAATTGCATTTTAAAACATATCTAGGTATTATAAATGATAAAGAATGCTAAAATAGATATAAAATCGATATTTTTTTTTTGAAAATTGCCTACTATGATCGAAATCAAAAATGCTTTAAATTGCATTTTAAAACATATCTAGGTATTATAAATGATAAAGAATTCTAATATAGATATAAAATCGATATTTTTTTTGAAAATTGCCTACTATGATCGAAACCAAAAATGCTTCAAATTGCATATTAAAACATATCTAGGTATTATAAATGATAAAGAATTCTAATATAGATATAAAATCGATATTTTTTTTGAAAATAGCCTACTATGATCGAAATCAAAAATGCTTTAAATTGCATTTTAAAACATATCTAGGTATTATAAATGATAAAGAATGCTAAAATAGATATAAAATCGATATTTTTTTTTTGAAAATAGCCTACTATGATCGAAATCAAAAATGCTTTAAATTGCATTTTAAAACATATCTAGGTATTATAAATGATAAAGAATGCTAATATAGATATGAAATCGATATTTTTTTTGAAAATAGCCTACTATGATCGAAATCAAAAATGCTTTAAATTGCATTTTAAAACATATCTAGGTATTATAAATGATAAAGAATGCTAATATAGATATAAAATCGATATTTTTTGAAATTAGCCTACTGTGATCCTGATACGTTCAATTCATGTTTGACAGACTTATCGAAAGTCTAGGGGTGTTTTAATATGCACTTTCGAAAAATTTAAATTTGAAAAACCGTTACAATTTTTTGTTATTTTATTCTAGTTATTGATAGTTTTGAAAACAAATTTAGCTATATTATGCTTATTATCAAATGATAAAATCCAATGCTAGCAAACAGAAATTTTTGAGTTCTTATTATTCGAACTTCGATTTTTCGAGGTTCTTATTTTTCGAAAATCGAATCTTCGAAGTTCTTATTTTTAAAAAAATTCGTTGTGAATTATTATTTTTCGAGTAATTTGTAATTTTAGTGAACATGTCTACTAGTTTTTATGATTAAGATAATCACTGTGATGAAATTGCATTCCTTAAATGTTTATGCTTTAAAAAACACCTAGTTTAAAAAAATAAAAAGTAACAGACTTTATTATTTTGAAATTTTAAAAAAATACCGCGCGAAAATTTTGAATTTTTTTTGTTTGTAACGGACTCTGTTCTCTTTGCTAACATTGGGATAAAATAATATTTTTATCAAAAATTCATGAAAAAATTGCTTAATTTAAGTTTTTATTTTTTCCTAATTTTCGAAAATTTGGAACTGCAGGGTATGAAACTTCGAATTTTGCATCGCAGACAGACAAATAAGACATTTTTGCAAGTGTTCTTGGAAACTGTAACGGTCGAATTTCTTGAATTGTTCGTATCAGGTTATGAAAAGTAAAAAAGGACAAATTCTGCAATTTTGTATGTAATTCCATATACTTCACAAGCACCAGCAGAAATCAGTTTGGTGTATTACATTTTTTTTCCTTAGTTATGTCGGTTTCAAGTCGACTAAAGTGAACATGAAAAAATCAACTCGGTTAAAAGTCGACTAAAGTGAACACGAAAAAATCAAGTCGGTTTCAAGTCTACTAAAGTGAACACAAAAATATCAACTCGAGCTGACTTGAAACCGATTGAAATTTTAGTGAAGTGAAGTGAGTTTGCTTCATCGACTTCGACCTCTGCATTTCGGGCTATATCTCCAGCACTGTTGCACTTTGGGCCAAAATGAGAATAGATTCTGATTTCTTGGATAAAAACCTTTCAAATAAGCCAATAAAATAATTTTTGGAATAAAATTTCGATTTTATCCCATAATGATGTGTGCACATATTTGATGTATGAAACATTATTTTGTGTCACATATGAAAATGTGTGATGTGTGACACATATTTATGTGTGTAGATATCATGTGTGAACATGCAAAATCTGCACATATTTATTAATTTGCGGGACTAAAGTAATATTTTTTTGTAAAATTTATTTAAAACTAGTGTATCGGGTAGAAACCCAATGCTGCCATATTCACACCGTACCATCAAAAGTCTTATGGACAGAGCAAGATTAGCTCAGCATAAGTTTGAAGGTATAAAGCTAGCTGAGCTTTGCTGAGCATATGTTTGAAGGTTTAAAGCTTAACGAACATACTTTGAAAGATTTTTAAAAAAAAAATTTCATCTAAAGTTTAATTATATAAAAATCACAGTAAACTTTTGTTTCGAAAAGTTCGTAAGAAAGGAAAGTTTTTTGCTTTTTTTGAAGCAACGGCTGTTCCTACCTTGCCCAAAAACAATACAGCTCTTCTATAGAGCATCACGGATTAAATGTAAAAAACTAGAAGTCTCTACGATGTCTCGTTATTGAGATTTCTTGCTGATTAACTTACTTGTTTGCTTGCTTACAGAAAGCGTATTTTGCGATTTTCTCAGCAATGCCGTAACCAATTTGAAATATGTTTTTTGCAAATGATGTAAAATTTCAATTTTGCTTCGTTTTCTCACAAAATGCGAAAAACTGATTTTTAAATCAGTCAAATCAATCAAAAATCAGTTTTTCGCATTTTGTGAGAAAACGAAGCAAAATTGGTTATAAAATGTCCTTGAAGAAAAGTTTGTGTCTGAAATTTTACATCATTTGCAAAAAACAGTTTTCAAATTGGTTTCGGCATTGCTGAGAAAATCGCAAAATACGCTTTCTGTAAGCAAGCAAACAAGTAAGTTAATCAGCAAGAAATCTCAATAACGAGACATCGTAGAGACTTCTAGTTTTTTATATTTAATCCGTGATGCTCTATAGAAGAGCTGTATGGTTTTTGGGCAAGGTAGGAACAGCCGTTGCTTCAAAAAAAGCAAAAAACTTTCCTTTCTTACGAATTTTTCGAAACAAAAGTTTACTGTGATTTTTATATAATTAAACTTTAGATGAAATTTTTTTTTAAAAATCTTTCAAAGTATGTTCGTTAAGCTTTAAACCTTCAAACATATGCTCAGCAAAGCTCAGCTGACTCGCTAGCTTTATACCTTCAAACTTATGCTGAGCTAATCTTGCTCTGTCCATAAGACTTTTGATGGTACGGTGTGAATATGGCCGCATTGGGTTTCTACCCGATACACTAGTTTTAAATAAATTTTACAAAAAAATATTACTTTAGTCGCGCAAATTAATAAATATGTGCAGATTTTGCATGTTCACACATGATATCTACACACATAAATATGTGTCACACATCACACATTTTCATATGTGACACAAAATAATGTGTCACACATCAAATATGTCCACACATCACACATAAAATATGTGCACATATGCAATGTGACATATATTATTTGCCAACATATGAATTCTGCCACACATTGTTCACGTAAACATATTTTTAAAAAAGGCCAGATTCTATTTTTAACCACCCTGAATAAAACTATTCTTTTATGCTTAAAAATCATTTATTTATTATTTTCTTATCCTAATATCAGTTTAAATGTTATTGCAAATATATTGAAGAATATCAACGGAACTGCGGGAAGAGAGAAAGAGATACATGATTAAGTTTAAAGATCCAGTAGCAATATTCAATTTACTTACTCTTAACAACGGTTCTAATAGATCTGATTAAGTTTAAAGCTTGTGACTTCATTGATGGAGGCTCAAAACTCTGTTGATGTGTTGTAGCTCCCCAGCCGACTTAATATAATTAACATTTTTACTAATGAGTTGGAAGTTTTTAATTTCTTACTACTTACACTTTGCTAGAAATCTCTCTTCATGTAGGATACAGACAGCATTTAGACACAACAGTGTCGCTTCCAATAATGACCATAAAGTGAACATAATTTACTTAAATAAGCTTTAAAAACGATTTTAAAATATCGCAAAATTCTATAAACAAGGGTATGGACACTTTCGCGTCACTAGTGACAGTCAGTCAGCTAAAAACAAAACAATCTTAAATAATAAGCTATTTCTGAGCAGATCGAATCTTGTTCAAAAATAAAAGATTAAAAATCTGCTTTAATTAAGTCATGAATATTGCTGCAATTAAGATTGAATATAATTGTGTAATTTAAAGTCGTTGAGTTTTTTAATTGACTTTTTTCAGCATATCTTGTTGTTTTTTGATTAACGTACGCAATAAATTTAAAAGATTTTGCATAACAAACAATGCTGCTGTTAAAGAATATAAATTTAATTAAGAATATTGCATTTTCTCAGCAAACTAAATGCTGTCCATTGCTAAATCCATCAAGAGGCTTTCATTCATCACTTTTGCTATATGCCCAGAAAGATCAAAAGGAGAATCAATTGGAATCAAGTGATAAAATTCGAGTTTATTATGGTAACTTACAGGCATTCTTTAAATCATACAAAAATAACTTAATTAAACTTAACAGGAACATTAACGCCACAAATAAGAGCTGTAAAAGTGTTTTCATTGACAACAAGTATTGTTGGAGTTTGTGCACAGCCAGTACTTTATGAGCAAGCAGTTCGATTGGGAAGTTCAACGCCAGTCATTGTTGCTGTTTGTGGCTTCATTGGATTCTTCACATTCATTACTCCGTTCCTTATACACATGATTACCAAGAAATATGTGACTGAACTTCATTATGATAAGAAAAATAGTGAATATATTGCTTCTGTTATAACATTTTACTTGACCAAGAAGCAGGTGAGTAACTAAGGGCTTTAATCTGTGCCTGACAAGCTGTTCAGTTTTGTGAACATTGAAACATTTAAGATATAACATTTCTTTTTTCCCAGATCAAGTTCAAGCCAGAGGATGTGTCAGTGCCTGATATTCCTGGAATGTTTGCCTCATTTAATGTCAAGGATAAGGATTCAAAGAAGTCACATCCATTATTCGTAGATCCACGACTATTTGAAGACACCCAGCATTATATTAAAATCATGGGATTCGACAAACCTATAGACTTCCAAATGGACTATGCCGAGAAGGAAAATACTGAAAATAAGAAATAAATGAAGCAATATAAATAAATAAGGCATTAATGTATTTAGCATAGATTTCTTTTATTTATTATTTAAATATACTTGAATTTCCACAGAAATGTTTAATATAAACTTTCAAATCGTTTATGATTTAATACAAATATCGCTAAATAATATATAGATTAATTCATATTCAATTTTCAACTTTGAATGTGAATTCTTCACAAATATTCGATTGCCATAAACTTTTCTCTCAAATCATTGCCTCGTTTTATCATTTTTATATATTTTTTTTTTGTTTGTTATTTTAAATTAGATCCAATCTATAAATCCCACAACGGATAAAACAAATAAAGTATTTTATATAAATTAAAAATCATGATCAAAGCTTTGATCGTTAACGCCTTTTTTATATGCTTTCTTTAAGATAAAGAAACTTAATCGTTATTAGCGTCATTTTTTAATAATGATAAAAAATGTTTTTCTTTTAATATATTTTTTTAAAAATAATCCTGCAACATTACAGGATCGTCCATGTATTTCCCTTGCAAATATTTTTAACTAGTAAAAAGAGTAGTTAAATTGGAGAAAAAGAAAACTACGTTAGTTCTAGTCATCTATGTTCTGCTAATGATTATGATGATTTCGTTTGTCATTTTTCGTAAAATATTGGTCTTTTTGCATTACTTTATATATTTTTTTTGTCACTACTGATATTGAAAATGTAAGTTCCTACACAACGCATCACAACTTCTCACTGAAGTCTACATTTGTGCATGCCATAAATGAGCTTTAACTAAATATGAAACGCTTTTGTGGTCAAATAACAAAGAATCATGACGAACTAATTTGTTTTAATCAAAAAATGTTTTCAGCTACGTCCTACTATATTTTATATACCGATGCCTGTTTTAAATTGCTTTTTTAAAAGACATTTAATTTAATTTTTTAAATTTTTTTTTACTTTTAATTTTAACAGCAAAAAGCTTATAAATGCATTCAGATTCATTTGTTTCATCTCTGCTGATTTTTAAGAGATTAGTTATTAATGCACCTCAAAACCTACATCCGCGACAAATCAATGATCTCTGACTGCACTGAACATTTAATTTAATGGAGCTTCTTTTAAATATATTTTGTTTAAATCTTTTCTTTTCTAATTTTATACTTTTCTTTTAGGTATTTAAGAACAGACATGCTGCTCAGAAGATTAATTCTTTTAAAAGATTTAGTTCTTGATGAAAGTTATAAACTGGCAAAGTTTATAGAAAGTGTCATAAGTTTGAAAATTTAATGGAAATTGGAAAACTTTTAAACTTCCGATCAAGTTTTGTACCTGAAGGAATTTTCCAGTCACGTACAACACATCAAGTGTGAATCTTTACTTTAATCTAAACGTTACTTGCTCTTAACGACGTAAAGATTTGGATTTAAATCAATGAAATTTTAATAAACTATCTGAGAATTCTGATTACTTTGAGCTTAATATATTTGAAGTCTACATCTATTGATTTCCTGTTATTCACAGCTATTCTAATGTGCTTAATTTCACAAATCTAATTCCAAAATTTACCAGCCAATAATTTTCATTAAGAACTTGTCTTGCTTGATTTTATGAGAATATAGCAGATATATGTAATTTAAAAACAAGAACATAGAAATAGAAATTACAGTATGAAGAGATTAAAAATTCTGTTGTGTAAAAGCAATAACAATTTCATTATTATAGACATTTCTTTTGTGCTTCATTTATACTCATCATTTTTTTTGCACTATAATTCAACCTCCAAACTTTCTAGTTGCTTGAATAAAAAGATCAGAAATGTATGAAAAACATAACAGCGAAAAAGTTTTTTCAGTAAATATCGAATGACACTTTCTAAAGTCAATTAGATGATTTTTATCTTCATCTATATCATCTCTCATATCGATACTATGTATTTTAATTATTTTATTTTTATTTCTTGTATACACAACAGCCAAGAATAATTTCCTAAAAAATGTTAACTGATATATATATATCCATAATATATATGTTTATCATCCACGTACACATGGGTATATATTTTGCTCTGCAGAAGATTTGAAAATAGTTTTTATTTTATCTTGCACAATAAAGGACCATATTATTATTTTTTTAAAAAATACAACTCTACATGCATCCTTTTTTAGCCTTTTATCTTGTATGACATGTAGTTTTAATAATCAACGATTATTAATTATAATGCATCATTATTTAAAGTTCAAATTTCTTATATCTTCATCTTTTTTTTCCTTTTTGAATCCCTTTAACGGGATTTTAAAAGTTTTATGTGTTTTCATTTTCATTTATTTTTTTTATTATGTTAACTCTAATTTCACATCACAATTCAGAAAACATAAATGAGAGCGTTAAAAAAGGATAAGGATTTCTTTTAAAAAAAACTATTTGTATAAAAATGACGCTCTTCGTTCATTAAATTGCATCATTTCTTTTCAAAGCGACAACTAAAAGAGTGTAGAAAGAACAGGTACTCGACAAAATTCTCGAAAACAAGAGCATGATGGGAAATTTTTCTAATCTGATTGATTGTAGAAGTGTACGTACTAATTAATCTATGGAAAAACTACCACAACTATCACTTCTCATCTCTCTAATGTTACTCTTTTGTATTAGAATTTAAATTTCATTTAGTTATTTTTGTTGCGTGATTTGCTTGGCTGAATTAATATGAATAGCTGGGGTTTAAAATAAATCTTACGATTAAATTTTAATAAAATCTGTTCAGTAAACTAAACTTCATTTCATTTCAGTTCATTTGAATTTTGAAAACCCGTTTAAAAATTCAAACTAGAAATCTCATTAATGCCAGCATAATTCACGCTGTAATTATAATTTTACTGATTTTTGATTATTAATTATCATTTTATCAAATTTGAAGAAATTATTGCGCTTCTTTTCAAACAATTATTTGGTGAATTTTTACATGGAAATGTCCTAGCAAACAAAAATACATTAATTTTTTGTGTCTGGTAAATCTCAATTTTTAATTACGGTTCATTTAAAACTTTTGTTCCATTAAGTTTCGCTTAAAAAGAGCTCTTTTTCAGGTTCTATTGTTACACAATCTGTGAGCTTTAACAATTGATTGTTATGGTGTAACCCGCTACTGATTAATAAATAATCTCATGAATTGACTAATGAAAGGAAGAAAGAATGTGCTAGGAGTCCAATAATGAACTATGGTATTTAAATCAAAGAGGAAAATAAAATAAAATCATCACATTATTGTCACTCTATCAGTAAAATTGAAAGTCATTTTCTTTAAAATTATTGGATACAAGAAACATAATTAAATATCTTTTCATTTCAATAGGAAACAAGCAGCAATGTTTAGATTTTAAATGTATAGAAACATTAATATTTTGTCTATAAATTCAACATTTATGATTAAATATTTAATATTTATTTATATATATATTTTTTTTGTCTGGTTATTTCATCTTAATGAAGAGTTTAAAGTACGTAAGATGAAGCATTGAAATTCAAAATAAAGAACATTTGATCGTAATTTAATCTCTCATAAATTAGAGATTTCATTAGTTTCTTTTTTTACATAATATAATATGTAGATGACTTCTCATCACCCCCTATAAGTTTTGTGTGTTAACTGTTTTTCATTTACTAATTTTACATCATCAACTAGTAAACTTTTTAAATTTCTTTACTTCTTCCATTGTTTTTTTTTTTGCGCTAAATTAATATAATTTAAAGTAAACTATACCAAATATTTGCCCTCGTCATCACTAGATCCACATTACTTTTCTTTTGTTGTTGTGCTATGTCGGGCAAAATATTTATCTTGTATGTTGATGCACATTATATACTATAATATATGCATTGGACATTATTTCACATAATCAGAATTTGTTAAATTGATTAACAGCCGAAGAAAAACTTTATAGTAATTGGTTTGCATCAAGCAAGTTTATTAGCTATTGCGCAGTATTGCTTGATTAGCCGACATCTTTTTTATCGCTAGATTACTGAACAGTTGAAAGTTCGTTCAGTAAGTTTTTAAATTTCATTTCATTTCGGTTCATTTGAATCTCGAAAAGACGTTAAGAGCAAATTGTTTAATGGAAAGAAGTTTTTCTCGGCTAATCAGCATTTCTTACGCATTCTTGTAAATTAGATAGATAATATATGTATCTTCAGTGTTTCTCAAATATAGAACATTCAACGTTAACTATAATCTTTATTTTCCAGGTTTACATTCTATCGACATGCGTTTCTTAAATCGTTTTGACAGTGAAAAAATATTAGTACATACTTTGATGCATGAAAATATATATATTTTCTAAGAAGTGTGCAACTGTGTTATTCATGTAATCTTTCATTGTCAAACACATGACAAAAAAATGTAATCAAATTATAGTTAAATATTTTTCTTTTCCATGTTAATAATAATAATATAAGTTATGCTCTATTAATAATCAATAAATCAAGGATTTGTTTTTGTTTAATGCATCACATAATAAATTTGAACTTAATTTTAAGCAAATAAAATTGAAAACTTCGTATGTAAAAGTTAAATTAACGTTATTCATCATTAAACTTTTTAAAAAATTTCCTGAATTTTTTTTCTTTTCATAAACAAATTTAAACGATTGTTTAAAAATCACAATAAATAAGATTATGCATGTATGATTTAAAATTATTTTTCTCGAACACAAAAGTTTACGCTTTCTTCATAACTTCATAACATTTAAGTCTATCTGAATTATTGTTACATTTTCTTCTTCTTCTTATTCCTCAAACTGCTTTTAAAAAGGATAAATATTTTTTTTTTTTTAAAAAAAAGGAAACTTAAAACTTTCTTTCTCATTCACAATCCGTGATTAATTTGTAAACTGTCTATGTTTACATATTAAATGTCTATGTTTCATTTAGCTACTTATTTTGTCACTATCATTTTGCAGTATTCAATAAATTTTTATGATTTATTAACTTGCGTGAGAATTACTCATCTATAAAGTTCCATAAATTTGACTTTAGAAACATGTCGTTGCCGAGAGAATCGACATCTTTCTTCGGTTCATTCCATTTCAACGTATCATTTGCCCAGAAATCGTCTGATACACTCGTTGACGAAATCTAATTGAACAATAAAAATAAAAACAAATGTATTGGAAAAGAAATAATGATGAATTGTTAAGAATATTCAAAGAGCATTGAGGTACTCACGTTAATATCAGAAATTGTCATGTTAAGGAAGTGTTCGTTAAGACCATGTTGAGAATTTTGATTAGCGGAAGATCCTATGTTTAAGTGAGCATCATTGGACTTTTTTGGCTCAATCGAGCGCACAAGATCCATAGATTTGAATGAATCGTTGCCACTTCCACTACTTGTACTTCCAATATCAAAGTTGTTATTATCCATGCCTGATAAGCCACTCCATTGATTTGCTTTGAAAACATTCAAGTCACTATTTTTCCCAATAGCACCATATTTCCCATTTGTTGGCAAGTTGTCATATGAATCGTCGGTATTTGCTGTCAATATCGAGTCAGATCGGATGAATTTGTCCTTATTAATGCTACTACCAGCAGACATCATTGTCGGGTTTGTTTGAGTGAAATGATAAGGAGCTGTGGATTTCATGATTTGTGTCGATGGTTGTGGCTGCTGCTGCGGATTAAATTGCTGATAATTCCACATATTGGGCATTGCTGTGTCAGTTTCATCGTTGTTAACATTATTTTTTGAATGATATCCATAATTCGATGGTGGAACCATGTTCATTTGATTGACATTTTGATTGCGATGCTTATTATTATAGTCATGATTTGGCGAGACATCGAAACGATTAATTGGTGATGCATTTGCAGGCTTATTAAACTGTTGTGATGTTGTCGGACTTTTTGGCATTAAATTGTTTGGCGACTTCGATTGTTGTTTCTGTTTTTCCTGACCACGATTCCATGGTACGTACTTTTGATCTCCTCCAAATGACGCAGATGACGAAGAAGATGTATTACATTCATCATTGCTGCTATTGTGATTGTTATTATTATTACTGATGTTATTGTTATATGGTACAACATGGTTATTGAAAAAATGAGCAGGTGGCTGTTGCTGTTGATTCTGCATCCCATAATATCCACCATTATTATTATTATTATTGGTGTTATTGGGAGATTTCATTGGATTGAAATGATTATTATTGTTATTATTACTCATGTTATGAGTTGGAGATGAGAATGCATTAGGCATATTGTTGTGTCCATGGTAGGGAGATAATTGCTTCTTAAAATCAGCAGATTTGACGTAGTTTTGTTGAGTAATTGGTGGAGCCGATAACGGTGGACGATTCATTTGGAACTTTCCAGACGAAGCAGGTAAATTTGGATGTGGTGAATCCAAAAAGTTGTTTGGTGAATAATTATTATAATTGTTTGGACTATTCCCATTAAACGCAAAACGTGGACCATTCGGTGAATGAATCTTATGTTGACTCGGACTTAAAGGTAAAGACAAATTCGGAGTAGAAGTTGACGAAGAATTTGAATATACATTTGTAGGCTTTAAATGATTAGAATGATGTTGGTGGTGGTGATTACTATTATTCGGTGTCATTGAATGATGATGCTCATTACGATATGACATTGACTTATTAAATCGAGAGTTGTCTTGATTATTTTTGGCAAATGTTGAATGATGATTCATGTTAACTTTTTGATTTGGTCCATTTGAAGCATTAAAATTATTCGACTCTTTCATTTGATTGTTGCTGCTGCTGCCACTATTACTCCCATTATTAATATTACCATTATTACTATTATTATTACTATTGTTGTTGTTGCCGTTGTTCCCGTTGCCACTATTGCCAAGTGATGATGAGTTTTGAGAATTTCTCATGGTATTCTTCTTGTATTTTGCTCGATATCGTTCCAATTCTTCATCGGAATGAGCAAAATTACAGTTTTGTCCACGAGCACAATTTCTATGATTTTGTAACTCTCGACAAAAGCTCACCTTATAACGAGACGTATTCTGTAGATATGCATTCTCTTGAGTTTTACGATTCCCATGATGCTGAATGAAGTCGATCAACCCATTTACTACTTGCTTCACCGAATTCAATGCATTTGAACATTCAATCCATGTCGGAATGATGCTTGGTTCCGATGAGCTATCAATATTAGCTAAATTGTCCATATGATTCCTTAATCTAGAGAGATTCGCAGGATCGCCAGTACGTTGTAATGCCAATACTAGTTCATGAACAGACAATGCAAATGATGATGGATTTTGTTGCTTATCAATGATCGATTGCATGTGTGACTTATGATTATTATCACCATATAATAGAGCACTCCATTGATCTGGAGCAATTCTAAGTCCAGCTTCGGTAGCAATTTGCACAATTTGTGCATCATGTTCACGTCTTAATGCTTCATATGTTCTGAATTCTTCCTTTAATGTCATCAATGACGAATCACTTTCACGCTTTGAAACTATAAAGCAACTTGCTCGATATAATAATTGTACGACATGTCCAATACTTGTTTTTGAGGCTTGTGGAAATGTTGTCACCAATTGAGATACAACATAGAGTACTAATACCTTTCGTGATAATGACGAGCCATCTTCTAATGCAAGTAAAACTAATTTAAGTACTTCCTCTTGCATTGCTGGCCCCAAAAATTGACATCCCCTAGCTCGAACAGCAGCCCATAAATGAGTACTTAACAGCTGCGGATTTTGATGTTGTAAAATTAATTCGGTAACTGTGCGCTCGCCCAATGATCTAGCTGCTCGCAGTGATCGCGCACGTCCTTCATCTTCAATGAGTTGACAATTAATAAGTGTAACGAGTTTTCTTTGCATTGGTCTCGACAACAGTGCCGAGATATTTGAGCTCGGCCTCAAATACAGTGCTAATTCCTCGATACATCGTGTAGCACTCTTGTAATATTGTAAATCTTGTTCTGAGAGTGTTTGAATAATAGAGGGCAAAATCTCATGTTCGACAATATTATTTGATGATGCTGATGACGGTACTAATTGCAGTAATGCATAGTTGATTGGCAAGTTGTCTAAATCTTTTGTTATGCTTGTCTGTGAGATGAAATTCAAATTGTGATGTAGAGAAAAAGGTCACGTAATTTGAGAGAGACACGATGATGGAAAAAAAGAAGGCATTGGATATAATAACAAAAAAATAAAAATAATAATACTATGAAAACAAGTGGTTGTGCGATGACGACTTTTCTTTCTTTCCATATACACACACACGCTCTGTGCTGTATGTATAGCTGTTTGGTACATGATGTATAAAGAGCAGACAAACGAAAGAAAAACTAAAATACTATTTCTCTTTTTCCTTTTCTTTTTCTTCTTCTCTTCGTTTGTGAATTGTAATGTTGTGGAAGAAAGTGAAAGTTTTCATGCATATAGTTGCTTTATATTATTATTATGTTATGTTTTTTAAAAAGCTCTTTTCTTTCTTTTTCCTCATTGTCTTGTATAGTTAATGAATTTAATTTTATTAATCACTTACCTGATCGAAAGGGCATTGCTTTCGATGTAAGGTTGCAAGGCAATTCTTGCATATTGTATGTCCGCATGCTAAAGTTATAGGCGCACGAAAACTTATCTCAAATTCGTGCGTACAAATTGGACAGATTAAAAAGTCAGTCCACGATGGTGCCGATATGGGCATTCTGTAGTAACAGAGAAAAAGAGAGAAGAAGAAATCGTTACTTATCTTGATTAATTCACTAAAATTACTATACAGTGTATTGTATTGCACGAAAAAAATTAAATAGCACACATTTCACAATCCGGATATTCACAATAATATGAGACAAGAGAGACACAATGGCAACAACAAGAGTCTATTTTTAAGTTGAAATGTTAATGCAAAAGGAATGTTGCTCAATTTAAGTTTTTTTTTTCTTTCATCATTGATGACTCACAGAACTTTCTAGGTACAATAATAATTGTTGCAACGAGAGAATTATTATTATATTTTAACTTGACACAATAAGTATAAAGTCATTTTGTGTTTAAAAACTAGATTATTTTGAAGGATTTGTAAAGAAACTTTGGTGGAATATTTTAGATCCGTGTGTTTCACTCTTGCTAATGTTCAATGTTAAAAAAATTCAGATACTGCTGCCAATATAACTTTTTCTTTTCTTCTGCTTCACAAAAAAAATAAAAAATCTCAATCATTTTATTACAGAGTAATCTTAAAAAGCTCAACAAGACACTATTTAAACTATTAGCATGTAAAAATGGCTATTTTATGACAAGAAATCACATTAGATCTAATTAAAGTCACAAAAAAGTGTGTGAAAAAATTTTTCTTGCCAAATCATTCGTAGAATTTTCATTTTCATTAAATAAATCAACTTTATTGTGTCTTTTTCAAGACAATTTCAACCTTATTAACACGACACAATAACTATTAAGTAAGTTAAGTACTTTATACCTTGCAAATTTTAATTTTCATCGCATATTCTTAAAAAAATCTTAAAAAATAACTTTTTGTGAAATTAATTTTTTTTTCTTTTCGAGAGGGGATTACAACTTGACTGGATGTTTTGAAAAGTGAAGAAACACGTTTGAACAAGTTCAGACAGAAATTTTCACAATAATTTTAATACTTACAGGTTTCTTATAGACTTTACAGCTATGATCTTTGATTTGTAGTCATAAAGGTCCAAATAGTTTAACTTATACATTGTTTCCATGCTTATTTTCATGCAATTTTATATTCTTATTATTAAAATTCTTACATTATCAATGAAGATAATTATTTTCCAATTTAAAAATATCCACTGGTCTCATTTAAACTTTACACTTAACAAGTTTAAAATATTTAATACAACTTTTTTCCTTAATATTCTTAATATTAACAAAAAACAATCATTCTTCGACAAGGTCTGAACTCAAAGTGACCTCGCTGCAACGGAAACTGCTACTTTGTTCAAATTTGAACTTTCGAGGGAAATTCAAAATCCAAAAATACGTTAGAAATTGATAATCAAAATTAAATTGTAATTAATTAAAGACACACAGAGAGATGTACGCAATAAAGTACTTTATTTGAATTCAATTTGTGCATGGTCAAAAAATTAGAAAACAACATTTTTGTTAAGTACAAGAGAATATTCGATCAAGTACTTATGAGTAAATAGAGCATTTAATAGTATAATTATATAATGTATATAATTGACATCCAGAAAATATAAAGCATTAGTCTTTCTTTTCGACCTTCTTGCTGCCATAGTTTGACGCTTTAGAAATTTTAGACATTCCTATTGCATAATTGTACAACAAATGAAATGAGACTAACACGAAAACTCCACTTAGAATATAGAAAATATTTCCACTAACAATCATGGAAAACAATAAATATAGGATTGGAAGCATAGCAATAATCATCCACACTATCCAATTTAAAACGCTGGATAATCGTCGAGGTATAGTGATCGGTTCAATTGGTGTAATATCATTTCCCTTAAAATAATCGCCTGTTTCATGGAAGCTTGCTTGTAATTTATCCTTTCGTACGTATAAATCATGAAGCCATTGTGCTGCTTGTTCTTCATCCTCTGGAACCTCACTCATTGATACTCTCCTCAAATATATATGACCTGTGATGCTTTTACCCCGTAATAAATTTATAATTGTCGGTTTGACTTTCTCATCCTCGCTAAAAACTAATTGAACATCCATAATAGCTGGACACTTTTTCTTTAGTACTGGTAAACTAGCTGTAAATCCCTTCGTCCTTGGAATCAAATGATGCTTCAAGACTGTCATTCCTCTCTCTTGTGCGAATTTCACCGAAGCTGCATGCTTTGACTGCGTGAATCGCGTGCCTTCCGCATTCAGCAGTAGCCTATAACATTATAAATAAATCGTAGGATTAAAAATTAAACTGCGAGTTCAACGTAAGTTATCAATAATTTCTCAAGTTTTGAGCTAATCGAGTCGCGTTATCAGGTTAAACAAAAATAGCTTACCAAGCAGGGTCTGGGTAATCAAAGATTTCATTAAGCTGCTTTGTAATAATTTCTCTATCCTTATCAAACGACCTTTCCAAAAACACAAATTCAGCAAATTTCCACGACCATCCTAAATATTCAAAAACAAAAAAAAATCAATCAATCAATTTAAAATGAAGGGAAATAGACACAGAAATGTTGAATAACAAACCTATTGTTGGTATATATGAAATGACTTTTTTGGCATAAGCTTTGCAATTACCGAGAACGCCAACTTTTTCACAAAACATCCATCCAAAAAGCCAGTCCGTTTCGTACGTGTGGTTCATGATTAACAGAGCTATTTTGGAAAACATAAAATAATTAATACTAGTTTTATGTCCAATTAAAAAAGACTAGTAGAGTAATTACCATGTTCGGTTCCAGCTTTTGCTAAATCTTCTTTGGAAATGTAGATTTTGAGCACTGATCCACTCCACCATTCTCCTATAGCAACCAGTTCTAGTATATAGAAAATAAATTTACATGGTCATCAAATGAAATATCAAAGGAAAGGCAAATAAACTTACGACAATGAAACGAGTAGCAGAGATAGTAGAGTAATGTTCTAAATAATCTTTTATTGAATGGTTTGATGCATAAAAATAGAATGCATTGCATCAAGTTGATCACAAGTCCAGATGTAAAGTAGCTGATAGCGAAGCACAGATGGACAATGCTAGACGATTTTATAGCATTCAACAGTGAAGACATTTTCCTATAATTATGTAAATATCGTGTGTGCGTGTAGAATGACCTGTAAAGTCATAAAAAGAATACCGTTATGCAATAGACAGCCCAAAAATATGCTCAAATTCTAATCTTGATTATGAAATTTCCTTATCTATAGAAGCTATTTATATGACGAATGAAAATTTTATGGAATTTCCCCATACCTTGTCTTGGAAACTATTAAAAAAAATTGTCTCTAAGAGATATTATCTATCTGAATGGTTCAGAGTACTAAACGAAAATGAAAACAAGAATGTAAACATAAAGTCCAGCAGTGATTTTCACGAATAAAACCTTCGTCTTTAAGATAAGAATCAATAAAAATTATCTGATTCCAGAAAAGTCTCTGCCTTCAAATTTTCCAATGATAAGGCTTAATATAATTTTCGTACTCACTGTTTTGATGTTGATTGATTCTTCTGCCAACCTCCTTGTTCCACATTAATTATGCCTTTCGATATAATATCAAACAATAATATCAGCTTTAATTGATGAATGTGGTATTCTACGTGAATGAAATGAAATGTTTTAAGCGCAGATTATTTGATGTTTTTTTTGTTGTTGTTTCTAATTTAGTCTAGTTGTAATCCCCTTTGAAAAGAAAAACATTTGAAATTTAAAAAACAAAATAATAATTAAAGTGTAAAATCATAAAATGAGCAAGAAAGAAGGCAAAGATAAGGCTGCTGGTGTAACATATTACACGTTATTTGTCAAATTCTCAAGAAGAGTTCCAAATCCATTAAATATTCGTAAGTAAAACAACTTTAAAATGATTTCAACACGTGCATTTGTTGACAATACTTTATTTAACTGAATTAATATAGAGGATGAAGTCAGAGCACTCTATTCGGATGTCTTGAATGTGAGAAAACCAAGACAGAAGAATGCTCGATGGATCTTGATAGATTTCGAGACTACGGAACATGCTGAAGCATGTAAAAAGATTTTGGAAGAAAAGAAGCATGTAAGTCTTAGTGGATGTCCTATAATATAGCATCATTACATAAAGTTTATCCATAGATCGCTACGTTACCTGTAAAAGTGAAGAAATTAAACATTAAGCAACATGATCCAGCAGATGAAAAAGGAGACAATGAGAGACAGGATAAATTAAATAATCTAGCCAGAACAACGTTCCAGTCATCAAAGCTTGAAAAGTATTCAAATAAGCTGTTAGTAACAAACATACCGAAAACAATCACAATGGAGGAACTGAGAGAACTATTTCCTGGACATGAAAAGATTGATTTGAAACAAAAACCGACAACTCGAGCCTACATTACATACTCATCAGCCAAAGAAGCCATGAATATGAGGATGACATTAAAGCCTGTAATTGCTCGAGAGAAATTCAGAGTTATTGTGCTTTTATTAAATAGTGATAAGGTTAAAAAGCCACAAATTAAGGTTGCTGGAACTGGGAGATATTTTGAGAGTTCTATTGAATAAACGATTATTCAGAAGCCGTATACTTTTTAATATTTTATTGTTAACTCAAGTAAGTCATAATATTATCAGTTATCAAATTAAAAACTTGCTGTCATAAATTTCCTCGGAAATTCTTGCCTATGAACCCTCTGTAGATCTTGCAAATCCTTTGTTTCTCGACAAAAGTTGCAGAACTGAGATGTGAGGATGTCAAGAGGTGATCGATAATATATTTTTGGATTCTGATTTCTCTTATTCTTGTGATGCGCCCAAATATGTAGCACTAACTCTACAACGATGATATAGATAGCACCAAGTTTAGGAAACAGGAAAAATGAGGGAATTAAAAACAGTCTGTGTGAGAACTTGTTATATCCAAAAATGATTTCCTAAAATAGATAAATCAAGAGTCATCAAGTGTTGGCCTGCAAAAATATATATCTTATCAATATTTACTTCTTTAAGGTCAATAACACGCTTCTTGTTTGTCAATGAAAACGATTCTTGCGACGATAAATAGCAGTCAAATTTTGCGTTGCTTTCACATTTTGGTTCTTTTATTAACGCTTTTGGGACATTAAATTTTGATTTCCTTGCAACAAAATGCAGTTTCTGCTGACTCTCATCAACTTCTGACTCATCACACTCTTCCAATATTTCGCCAGTTTCTAGATCCAAATTATGACATTCTAAATTAGTACTTCTTTGAAATAAAATCTCTCCCGTCTCACTATCCATTAGTTCCATTTTCAATAGACTCTTTGTGTTGAAGTTTACTGGGAAATTGTCTTAGTCATACAGTATTATTAAATCCGATAATAATAATAAACTGCAAATTCTGAGGAAATAAAGTCATATATGAGTGTGAATGTAAAATAGAGGATCAAAGGTCGTACACTTTTTCAAAATATTCTCTTTATACTCCAAAACTTTTTAATTAAATGCGATGAAATTTCTTCCACTTTTTAAACAAAGCACAGCACTCAATCTGATATCAGATTCAAATTGTTCTAGATCTAATTACGTCTTATTTGTTCACTATCATTTGATTAGTGCACAGTTATCAATTTAATAAGAATAATTTCACAAATTTTCAAAATCTTTTACCACAAAAATGTATTCTAAAGGTAGGTATTCCGCAGTTTCCTTTACGATATAATTCGAAAGCTCATTAGCAAATAAAATTAAACCAAGCGTACGACTTTTTGTTTTTCAACTACTTCGTATTATATTATTTTTTTTCTGTCTGTATAGTCGTGTGTGTGTTTAAGAATCACTTTAATTCTTTTTTCATCTCATAAATCGCTTGAGGTACATCTACACACCATCAACTTCTGTTCACTTCTCTTAAGCGCAAAATTTTCCAAAAATATTCTTTTTTACTTGCTTAATAAATTTTTATTTGAACCCATTGATTTTCAGTACAATTGTGATCACTTTAATGTTTAAATAAGCAACAGTTTAAAGCCTCAAGGTCACTTCTGCAGAATCTTTTTTGTTGTAGCCTAATTAGAGTTGTATTAGGAGAAGCTTGTGTTCAAAAAAGTATTATTTTAATTTATAAGCAAATTGTTTCCTACACCATAAATTTTAACCACCGTCCATCTTAATACAACCCTGTGCCTATCTAAATCAATTTTATTCATGTGTTGTGTGTGCTGCAAGGTAATCTTCTATACCACTGCACAATAGTTTACCGGCTTTTGATAAAATCTCGGGCACGTGAAATGCAAAAGATATTCGTACGTAGTTCCTCAACTTATTTTCAATTGAGAAGCGACTGCCTCTAATAATAAAGACTTTATAGTTTTTGAGAATAAATTCACACATCTTTTCGCCATCAATATGATCAGGCAGTTTGATCCATATGAAATAACCACCACGAGGTTTTAAGAAACTGCAATTTTGTGGTAAATATTCAGTCAATGCATGAACCAGTGCATCACGTTGAGATTTGTAACTGTGCCAACATTCTTGTACATGTTCTTCTAATTTTCCCGTCTCAATCATGCTTGTTATGACACCTGATGCATAATTGCTGATTCCACCACCACTTTTTAAGAAGCCAGAATTTTGGAAAGCTTTTGTGATTCTTGGTGGACATTCCATCCATCCAACTCGAACACCTGGTGCCAAAATCTTTGAAAATGTTCCATTGGAAATGACATGTCCTTTATAATCGTTATCATCCATAGAATCGTATGCAAACAAACGCTTTGGTGATATGTCATCATCGTAATGCAGAATATTGTAAACATCATCACAAACAATTAGCAAGTCATGCTTTCGCGCAATTCTTATTATTGTCTGACACGTTCCTATTCAAGAAATATTAATTAATTAGATAAATGTCTTTTAATTAAATTATTATAATCAATAATACCTTCAGAAAAAACAATCGATGTTGGATTATGATATGTAGGCATGGTGTAATAACATCCCCAGAACATTTTAGAACCACCATGTTTAAATTTATGCTTTACAATCTTTTCCTCTAAATCAATTAGATCCACTCCATCATCATTAAGCTTTACAGGAACAATTTTTAATGTATTAAAATCTGATATGCTTTCTAAAGCAATCATGTAAGTAGCTTCGTCCAAAAAGACTACTCCATTCAAGTCCATAAGAGTTGACAAAATGACTAATAAGCCATACGAAGCTCCAGCAGTGAGAACCAAGTCAGCAGCATCTACATTCCACTGATATTGTTTGGATAAGAATTCAGCGAGTTTCGTTCGAAAGCTATAAGTTCCACATGTTGGTCCATACTGGAAGATGTACGAATGGTTTGCAGCTTCATACTTCTATAAAAGTAAGTTTAACGGTTAAAAAATATTCAAATAAAGTGTGAATCTTGTTTACAATCGTTTTGAATATTTTTGGTAAATTGTTAAATAAATTAAATATCTAATCAATTCTTACTAATTTTATATAAATTTAAGGTTTACTAAGCAGTTATAATGATGGGCTGGGGAGATAAAATGGAAGAAGGTTCTTCAACGTTTGTTTGGGGCAAAAAATTAGAAAAAGAAGGTTTAAAAAATTTATCAAGGAAGGAAGTAGAGCATCTTAATAGAATTAAAAAGCAAGAGAACATAGAGGAACTAGAGAAATTGAAGAAACGTAGACATGAACGAGAATTAATAAGGCAAGAGAGAGAAGATGAAATGTATCAGCAACAAAGACAAAAGGAAGCAACACAATTTGATGAATGGCAAAAGCAGGAAGAGAATTTTCATTTAGAACAGGCTAGACTGAGAAGTAAAATACGAATCCAGGATGGACGTGCGAAACCTATTGATTTATTAGCACAATACATTAGTGATCAAAATTTGGAAGATTCGATTGAAATGCAAATGCACGAACCTTATGAATTTATACGTGGTTTAAGCATTGATGATTTAGAGGACTTACTTGCTGACATAAAGGTTTATAACGAACTCGAGAAGAGCTCAAATTCAGATTTTTGGGACGATATAATGATTATTGTTGATGATGATTTAAAGAAATTAAAGAAAGTAGAGTCAGAAACATCATATCAAGGTAGACGTGAAGGGATTCATCAAAGTGTTGCACAGGACGTATCTAAAATATTTCGTGGCAAGACCACAACACAATTAAATGAATTAAGAACCAAAATTGAAGATAAATTATCGAGTAAAAGCGATGGAATTGATATTGGCTATTGGGAAAGTTTATTGTCACAACTTAAGGCTCATATGGCAAGAGCGAGACTACGAGATCGTCATCAAGAGAATTTAAAGAGAAAATTAGAATTGCTAAAGAAGGAACAAGAAGAGATTCTGATTAAAAAAGAGCAAAACAACGATGATAATGATGATCAGGAATTGACAGAAATGAAAGCGCCATCAAGTAGTTCTAATTCACCAAGACCCTCAACTTCTAATGAATGTCAGCCATCAACTTCTAAAGCAATGGAAACAGACGAATCATCACAAGATTCAATAGATCATAAGGCAAATGAAACAGATTTACTACAAGAATGCTTCAAGCTATATGAGAAAGGAAATTACTGTCCAAAATACATTAAGCCAGCTGATATCGAGTCATATGTGGAAGTGATAACTGAAGAAGATAATCAAAAACATCTCGATGAACTAAGAAGTAAATTGATTGAAGAAGAGGTTGAGGAGGTATTTTCTCAACAAGAAGTTTTATTGCGAAAAGAAGCACGTAAAGGAATGAACGACGATGAAGCTGAATTCTCAGTCGAAGCAAAATTGGACCCTCAAACACATTTGTGGTCATCCGAGAAATATAGACCGCGAAAGCCTCGTTACTTTAATCGAGTTCACACTGGTTTCGAATGGAACAAATATAATCAGACTCATTATGACATTGACAATCCACCACCAAAAATCGTCCAAGGATATAAATTCAATATCTTCTATCCTGATCTAATCAACAAAAGTATCACTCCACAATACTTTTTGACTCCGTGTGCTGACAATGCTGATTTTGCGATTTTGAAATTCCATTCTGGACCGCCATACGAAGACATAGCATTCAAAATTGTCAACAGAGAATGGGAATATAGCTACAAACGAGGGTTTAGATGTCAATTTCAGAACAACATTTTCCAGCTTTGGTTTCACTTTAAGCGTTATCGTTATCGCCGTTAAACATTATTATTACTCTTCTTATCACTATAATACTACTACCATTTACTACCATTCATATATAATTTAAAGAATTGTAATTAAATTAGATCTAAGATTCTTACTTATTCTTTCCAATAAATTTCTTGCTTGATTTCAATTAAATATTGTTTGTCTTACCAATAAATGTTTTGTTGCAGCTTCAAACAGCTGATTGCATTTACCCAATAAAATCTCATTTGGCGTTCCTTTAAAGGAAGTTAATTGGATTAAAGTCATACTTTAATATTGTCACTAATGACTGTAAATACCTGCGGATAGATTGATGTAGTTACTTTCGTAAACATTCAGATCACTTCCATCAAATAAATGTTTTAATGGATATTCTTTTCGTTCCTTGAACTTATTTACTTCCATGTCTAGCTCAGTCTAGCTTTTTTATTGACTGACTAATTCCAACAGTCAAAATTCATTTGAATGCTGTTCAAATTTAACTTTTTGAAATCGAGCTAGCGGGGCACAAAATTTGAATCTTTCTTTTTCTGAAAATATGCCTGCGAAAAAATGTAAGTTTTGACAAATTTAATGAATTTTGTAGTTTAATTCACTTAAACGTGATGTTGTTATATGTGATATTGTGCATAAGGACTTCCTTCATCTTATATTAATGGAGTTTATCGTGGAAAGCTTAATTACACACGAATAATTGTTAAAAATGTTAATAATTTTTCTATCATGCGTATATTTCAATTGTTCAACCATTTTTTCATCTTTTGTTCATTAACATTTATACATGTGTTTTACATGAAACTGATCACTATTAAGGAAATGCGTTAATTAAAATAGAGCTATACTAGTGAATTAAATGGACAAAAAATTCTATTATAAATATAACCTACAAAAAAAAAATAGTAAATAAAAATTAATCAACACATTTTATAACTCTATTTATTTGTAGCGGGTGAATCGTCCGATAAGGACAAAAAACCAGCTGCAGCGAAAAAAGATGCTGCAAAGGCTGGAGATAAGAAACCTGCCACATCAGGAGCTCAACCTGCAAAAAAACCAGCTGAACCAGCAACAAAGAAAACTGCTGAAAAACGTCCAGCACCAGCAACTACAAGCAAACCAGCTGAAAAGAAAACAGCAAAGCCTGTTGAAAAGAAAGCTGCACCAGCTTCTAAGGCTGCAAAGCCAGCTGAAAAGAAAGCTGCTGCTCCAGCGAAGAAAACTGCTGAAAAGAAGCCAGCTGTAAAGAAAACTACAAAACCAGCAGCCAAGAAAGATGGTAAGCCTAAGAAGGCACCAGTCAAGAAAGTTGCTGGAAAAGTTGCAGCCAAAAAACCAGTTGCAGTGAAAAAACCAACAACTATTACAGCAGCAAAATTGCAAAAAGGATCAGCTCGCGCAAAGGCAGCAGCTATCTTAAAGGCAAAACGTGCACGTCTGAAGGTATGCTTTGTTGCATTTTGTAATCTTATTAATCTCTTTATGATGAACTATTAGTTGGGAATCTCTTTGATGTAACAACATGAAAAGAATCACTAATACACTCGTTAATCTCTTGTCTGATATTCAGTCATTATCTTCAATCGACGACTTTTATTAAAAACCAATAACTGATGAGATATCTTGTCATACATTTTTGCAGGCTGTCAAGGGACCATTCGGAACTCGTCTACGTAAAGTTCGCACTTCAGTTCGTTTCCGTCGTCCCAAAACCCTCAGATTACCCCGTAATCCTAAATATCCACGAAAGGCAGTTCCAACCAGAAATCGCATGGACGCATTTAACATAATTAAATATCCATTGACAACTGAAGCCGCAATGAAGAAAATCGAAGACAACAATACCTTGGTTTTCCAAGTTCATTTGAGAGCTAACAAGAATCACATTCGTGCAGCCGTACGTAAACTTTATGATATCAAAGTTGCTAAAGTTAATTGCTTGATTAGACCTGATGGCAAGAAGAAGGCATATGTTAGATTGGCACGCGATTACGATGCGCTTGATATTGCCAACAAAATCGGAATCATCTAAACCATACATAATTTGATGATAATGGTAATTATTTTCATCTTTGAGAATTTTTATTTGTATCTTTAAATAAGAATAATAATGTGAGCGGGGATGAAAACATGAAATAAAACAAATTCCTTTAAAAACAACCTGATCTCATTGTGTTTCTTATTTTTTACATCTTTTACTAATCTTGTATTTTTAGCATAAATTAATTAACGGATTTTTAAAATTCATAAGATTCGTAAAAACAACGTTGAATTAAATGAGAGGGGCATGCATTTTGAAAGGGGCACGCAGAAAGTTGGTGAAAAGAAATCGAAATTTTATTGGACAATTTTATTAATAATACTCAGTATTTACGGTTGAAAACTAGTGAAATGATAGCGGAAAATCTTTATTGAGATAGAACAATATCGATTTGATTGAGAGAATTAAGAAGAAAAGAAGAAATCGTGAAAAAATTGGTTATTGATTTTTCATTGGCGAATATTTTGTGAATTTCAAAAAGATCCAGTAGAAAGAGAAAAAATTAAAAAAACACCGCAAAACGTTTGAAACTTAATGTTAATGTAATAAGCAGCATAAAACGATAGTTATAACATGTATAATGGAATTGGATTAACAACACCAAGAGGAAGTGGAACTAATGGACATGTCCAAAGGAACTTTGCATTTGTCAGACCAGGGAAGAAGGATAATGTACATTATAGGAGCGAAGATGATATCGCGAAATTAGATGCTGCAACAAATCGTCAACCAAACCTTGAAATATTAGATCATGAAAGAAAGCGGAAGATAGAAGTCAAATGTGCAGAATATGAAGAAGCTTTAGAATCACAAGGGTAGGTTTCATACATGAGTCATTATATTACACAAACACACACCCAATCACCTGTCATGAATATTAACAACTATTTTTGATATGTTACTAAATGAGTATGCCAACTTTCCCCTTTCTACAATAATTTTATAACAGGCTTTCTGAAGAAGAAATTCAAAAGAAGGTTGATGCATTTCGTAGCAAAATTGTAGGCACAAATCAACAACAAAATGGAAATGACGTAGCGAAAGATGATTACGGTCGTCCAATGTGAGTATAATCCTTGACATTTCCTTATATTTTAAAATTGCCATATCAGTTGACACAACTCTCCAAAATTTTGATTTCCTATTCCTCACTTTTTCCATATCCTTTTAATATACAAAAAAAGAGTGATTTTTGAGTGGGGGAAACTCACGTGAAAATGTTTTTCCTATTCAGCATCCTATCTGTATTTCCATGCCACGATGAGATTCTTTTTCGTTTCATTGTAGTAGTTGGGATATGCTATATATCGATTTTTCTTCAGTTCTCAGTTTATTATGAGAAGTCTAGAGAATAAGTTGTGCAAAATAATAATAATAATATAATTAAGTTTAAGCTTCTTCTGAAAGAAATGGGATTCTTAAATGGTGGATAATCGTACTATTGCGAAGGAAGCAATAAAAGTGGGAAAGAAAAAAAAGGACGAACGGTTTCCAGAGTTATTAGATATTAGCTTTTTTCATGTTTTTTAAAATGTAAACTTCGTTTAATCAATAAGTTTTTCAAAATCACATTGTCTTCCACACTAAAACATAAAGTTTTAGTGAAATTTTATGTGATTTAATCGTTAGTCTTCCTTATAAAAATTTTAAAAATTAGTATTAAAATTAAGTGCAATTCAATTTAAATAAATAATTATTAAGACATGAATACAAAACGGGACTTTATTCCAAAGAATTCAAACCAAAACTTCTCTCGGAATAACGTCAATAATAAGAATAAGAAAAGTCGTTCAATAAAAAATCTGTCTCCTGCCAAAAAGTTTCGATTACGACTTAGAAGAGCCAAGTTACAGAAACGGCAGCAAGCCAGAGAAGAGTATTTTGAGCATGACATGAGAGAAAATAATAGGAATAAAAGGAGGAAGCGCAATAATAGATATAAAAATTACAAGCGGCAAAATAATTTTCCAAATAAAAATAAAAATGGAAATGGAACGAATGAGATGTCGGCTAATTTAGAACTCGTGGAGCCGTCTTCAAATAACGCTAATTCTATATCCTATGCTGCATCGCAAGAAATTATGTCTAAAAGTTTAATTCGTAGTGAACAAGCGAAAAATGAGGAAATTTCTTCTCCAACTTTACTCTATCCAACAACCAACACAAATACAAATGCAGGAAACTTTTCCTCAACCAAATGTTGTTGCCATTGCGCATGCTCAGGATCGTCAAAAAGAAAACCTAGAAGGAAGTTATCATCTCCATATCTAGGCGATTTTAGTCAAATTATGCATTTTGCTGGCGGCAGTAAATGCTTGAATGCGGCAAATGAATTAACAACAGAAGTTTTAAACAAAACTATCATGACACAACATGAAAAGTTTATTAAAACGAGTGGGGTGCAAATAAATTACGATATACCGGCTTTTGGCACTTATATGCACAAGTCGGTCGGAGAAAATCTTAAAAATCGTAATGAACGAAATTGTGTTCAAACTATGAGGTTTGTCCTTAAACTCAACTGATATAGTGACGATAATAATTTTGTATCTTACATAAATTAATTGAAAATTCAATTCCAGTTTGAAGGAAACACACGAAATCGCCCAAGCTCAGCAAGAGAAAAATGCAAAATTGAGAGAAGCATTTGGAATATCAGAATACTTTGTCGAAGGAACAAGCTTTGATTCCGATAGAAAGGCACGCGAAGATCTGGCAAAGAGTGAGGCATTGCAAAAAGAGATTCAGGCAGATAAGGCTAATCAAATGAAATATGCACTTGTAAGAACGCCGTCTCCTGATATCGAAAAAGAAGCAACACCTGCCACTGAAGACGAAAAGAACGATAAAGTTGATAAAAAAAAGAAAAACAAAAAGAGAGAAGCGTAAGAAAAACTTTTGACATAATCACTGATTTTAACAGAAAGAATCAATAAATTATATTTTTTTTTTTATGTTTTGGCAGGTCTTCAAGTCCAGATCGCAAGAAAGATAAGAAGAAAAAGTCGAAAAAACATAAGAAAGATAGGTAAGAAAAAGAATTTATGTCTATAATTAACAATTTTGACCTCATTCAATGCCTCGATATCCAATGCAAATGTTTTAAACATTATTATCTCCTGTCATTTGAATATTCTTTAATTTTGATACGAAAAATTCGTGTTAAAGACGATAATCGAGGTAAGTCTAAAGGATTCTACCACAAAATAAAATAAAAAAAAGACGAAATAAACCCGTTTATAGAGTCTCTTATCATGACTAGAAATCCATTTGAATGATTCTTTAAATTAGCTATCAAATATTAACGCATAAACCATTTTATATCAACAGTGGAAAGAAGAAACGCTCTAAAAAACGGCGCGACAGTGATGAAAGCAGCGATTCAAGTGACTCAAGCAGTGAAGATTCTTCCTCGAGTGATTCCGAAAGCTCTTCTGATGCCTCCAGTGTTGATGATCGTCGCAAACGTCGCAAGAAGAGTAAAAAGAATAAAGTAAGTACAGATTTATAGCTACTTGTAGAAATCTCAATATATCACATTTACATTGATTTTTCAATTTTTTTCTTTTGCCTTCATTTTACGATAAAAATGAAAAATATGATAAATTTTATTAACTTCTCTATATATTTTCCAAATCCATAATTCTTTTTCTAAAAATTCAAACTGTCCTTATTCAAAAACCGAAGATAACGGAAAGGTATCTAGTAAAAACTCAAAAACTTTTACTAAAAACTAAAGTAATTCTTATATTTTTTTTGTATTAATTTAAGTTTTTTTATTTCCTTATCGTTTTCGTTCTTGATTATTGATACATAAGTTATGATTTTGAATTTTAAAGAGTGCTCACATTTTTTTTATTGTCTTAATCAAATCATTTATTCATTGGTGCTTGGATGGAACCATCGCTATTTAATCAGGAAAGATGTTGCTGATAGAAGTTCCAACTCTGTAATTGAGACTTTGCAAGCAAGTGAAAATGAGCCAAAAGAATTTATTACTTTTGGCTTAATAAAACCAAAAATCTGCATAAAAACTATGACATATTCCATGTTCTCTGTTCTATGTTCCGTCCAAAAATCAATGAATATCACAAACATTATTGCAATACATATCTATTTATTTACATTTCCCCCCTTTTGACTATGTATGTTAAGCATAATATTTTCGTCGAGTTCTTATCAAATTGCTCATCTAATGTTATTAAATATTCAAAGAAACTGAAAAACAAAAACATTAAAAGATTTTATTCTATTTTCTTGTATGCTTCAAAGTTGAAGGAATTCTTTTTTAACGAAAGCTTGAAAACTTTCACATATTCAGAGTAGGTTATGGTTTTCAATAATTCAAGTTCATTATGCTTCGACATGATTTTTTTATGCAAGATATTTCTTAGTTGTTAACTGCTAAAACCTGTTCTTAAATCTCATGATTTATCTTAATCCAACGCGATTACTTAATTTGAATTTGATATTTTCGTCAATAACTTAGAAATATCTTGCATAAGAGCAAAAAATTAATAAACTTGTGATCGATAGACATTAAATTCTTTTTGGCATATATCCTTTAAACACGTATTAACACTAAAAATACAGTTGTGTTAGGAGATTAGTTGAACTGTAAGTAATCGTGAAAGTTTTCTTAATTTGCTTTCAACTAATAATAAATTTGTTGATCGTGATAATGCTTTAGTTGAATTGATTTTGTATCGAGCTTTATGTATTGTGCCTTCATACAAAATCAATGTTTGACAGAATAATGAAAAAAAAAAATAAGTATAAGAATTGAAATACATATTTTAATACGATTGCTTACGTTCTGAATAATATTGTCTAATAAAATTGTTTGTCTTTCCGTTTGTTTACGATTTATTTGAACAGAAGAAGAAGTCAAAAAAGCAAAAGCATGAAAAGAAAGAGCGTTCACGTGAAAGGTAATTAATTTAGATTTATTTGTATTTAATATTTTGTTTAAATATTATCTTTTATCAATTCAGCTCGATAGATAAAGGACGAAAGAATCATTCAAAAGATATTAAGAGTCGAAAAGATGACAGACGAGAAATGGAACCACGTCTTCTTGAAAAGGATGTACGCAATTTAAGACGAAGTCGTTCAATAAGTAAGCGCAACGAAAGAAAAATGTCTCATAGTCGAAGTGACAGATATCAACGATCACAATCTCCAGTTAGAAAGCCAAGAAGGGATTCACAATCACCAGAAAAACGCAGGAAGGAATCATTATCACTAGAAAAACGCAGGAAGGAGTCAAAATCACCTGACAGACGTAGAAAGGAATTAAAGTCTCTAGATAGACGCAGGAAAGAATTAAAATCACCAGATAGACGCAGGAAGGAATCTAAATCACCTGAAAGACGTAAAAAGGGATCACAATCTCCAGTTAGAAAGCCAAGATGGGATTCACAGTCACCAGAAAGGAGTAGAAAGGCATCAAAATCACCAGAAAAACGCAGGAATGAATCATTATCACTAGAAAAACGCAGAAAGGAGTCAAAATCACCTGACAGACGCAGGAAGGGGTCAAAATCACCTGACAGACGCAGGAAGGGGTCAAAATCACCTGATAGACGCAGGAAGGAGTCAAAATCACCTGACAGACGCAGGAAGGAGTCAAAATCACCTGACAGACGCAGAAAGGAGTCAAAATCACCTGACAGACGTAGGAAAGAATCCAAATCACCAGATAGACGCAGAATTGAACCAAGTAGAGAAAGAAGAGACGATTTTCGTCGATTTAATGATATTGCGAGGAACAGAAATCGCTCACCTCCTTCAAAAAGTCGAGCATTTTCATCATCTAAAAATAGAGCATCTCCACAATCTAGAAATCGCTCTCCTGGATTAAAAAGACGTTCACCATCTCCAAGAAATTTCCGTAATCAAAATGAAAGGAACCAGAGAAAACGGGATAAATCAACAAGACGAGACCGTTCAAGATCAATGAATAGACATGAAATAAATCCTCGTAGAAATCCATCACCACCTAAGCGTCGTCCATCAAGAGCTTCTGATAGAAAAGAAGTTCGTGACTTAAAAAGAGATTCTTCAAATAGTAGAAACAGACGTGACAGAACACCGGATAAAAGAAATCGTGTGGACGAAAGAAAACGATTTTCACCAAAACGTCGATCAGCAGAAAGACGCCGTCCAGAAATGGATAATAAGAGAGGTAGAGATAGGTCATTATCAACAGATAGAAATCATGTGAAATTTCCACGTAAACGATCAGCAAGTAAATCAAAATCTCCAATTCAAAGGAAAATGTCTCGAGTAGAAAATCAAACAAAAGATATTGAACGTAAAAGTCATACAAAGGAACGACAATCGGATCGATCATTGAGCTATTCACCTGCTCGTAGAAATCCAGAACGGTATAAGGAGATTTTGGATGCAAAAAATAAATCGAATGAAAAGGCTAAGAAACATACAGGGCCTATAGTTAAATTGCAAAGTGATAATGAAAGTTCCGATAATGAACAAGCTGATAAAGATGACGAATTTCTTATTGACAAAAATCAAGACAAGGAATTCAATCGAATGAAAACAGAATTGGCAGCAAAAGTTAAGGAAACATTAGAGAAGAAAATCATATCGGAAGCTGCTTCTTCTCAACCGAAAGTTGATCTAAAGCAAAAATCGTCTACCGAATTTATTGATAATCGTAAGCATGAAAAAAATAAGGAAGTGCTAATAGCACAAGTAAGTTTGCCTGCAAAAGAAAAGCATGATAAAGTTGACAAGCCAATTGTTGGCAAATCTCAAAAATCAAGCAATGAAGCACCATTGAAAAAGAGAGAATCATCAAAAACTCCCGATAAAGATGCTGTACGCGGTAGAAAATCCAGAAGTCGATCTAAATCACCGCGAAGGTATGTCAATTGACATTTGTTTGAATGACTGAACAAAAAAGTTCATTTCATTTCAGTTTATTTACTCCTTAAATTTTAAAAAACCGTTATTTTTTTAATCTTTTGGATTTATTTAAATTCCCAATTGCAGAGGACGTAGATCAGGCTCATCATCAAGTTCTTCGTCTGGTTCTGGATCATCGCATTATTCGAGTGACGATTCTCGAAGGTCATCAAGTCGTTCGTCACATTCAAGTCACAGCAGTTCATCATCTAGCTCAACACATACAGAACGTTCACATCATGCATCAGCAGAAAATGGATCGCGTTCGCCAAGCATCCCTCGTAGAGCTGGATCTCCATCATTTTTGGACAGACGAAGAATCACAAGGTAAGGGGATTACTTTTTGTGTAGCACTTTTTAAGTCTAGCATGATTTTTAATTATATTTTTCTCATCATTTGAAATTATTCTTTAGATCACGGAGTAGAAGTTCAAGTTATCGGCGAAGACGTCGATAAATTAAACAATTATTATTTTCTATAATTTTTTTGTGTGCTTCATTTTTTTTGTAAGATAAGCTACAACTTTTTTTTTTCATTTAAATTTTGATGCTCACATTTATTAGATGATAATTTCTGATTCTTTTTATTTTTTGATGAAAGTTTTTTTTTCTTAAATAAAATTATCAAAAAAAAAACTCAATTAAGCATTGCTTTGTGAAGTATTATAGGCACAACTTTATAATTTTAAAGGTCAATTTTCAGTTTTTTTTTGTTTTCTTGATTTTGGTAAGTCAACATTTATTCCTATTTATTTTTATTTGATACAAATTGCTTAGAATACTAATCATTTTGAACATTATAATAAATAAGTCATTTACTAATAATCTACTAACATTTTCTTAACTTTACTAACCCATAAAAAATGATAATATAGTGCAAGAAAGCGACCGATTCCACTACCAAACTATAGAAACTCTCAAAATTCATCAGGAAGTTCACATAGCTCAAGTGTTAGCCGACGAAGTATAAGTCCTTAATTTGACACTCATCAGCACGAGTTTAATTTTTTCTGGTCACTGAAATCCTTCTAGTCTCAACTCTTTTTTTTACAAAAAAAAAGGAATATCCAATAAACTTTATTTTTTTTTCTCTGCAGTTGTTGTCTTGTACTAATAAAAAGCAATTAATCACATATTTCATGATATTATAAGGACATTACAGTAATAAAATAATAAAGGAATACCATAAAATTAAAAAAAAAAATTAATCCTTAGTCTTATTTGCTTTATATCCCTTAAACCAGGCTCAATTAATCAAGAATGTTTGCGAACGTATACGTTTTAATTAGACTGTTTGATAAAAGCTATCAGTCACATATTATCAATATTTATTTTGTGTTTTCTTTCTTTGCTGCTGCTCTACGTCTCTTATCAGCTAAATAAATGATCCAGAAGAATCCAATGATGTTGGCGACAAAAACTCTAAGCATTGGTGGTACAAAATTGAAATTTACAAATACCGGTAGTGATAAGTACCTCCAATTTGTGACCAAAACATTTAAGTAGAGTTGCTTAAGGATTTTTTGCGCCTGCTCTGGTGATTTTCCCTCAAAAATGGACAGGAAGTAAAGACTAAGTCCTACAAATACCGGTGCAAAAAGGGTTCGTTCCATAAAAAATTCAATTAATGCTTTATATTGAACATCAGGAACGACATTATTAAAGAATGAATAGAAGTAATGAGGCACAGATCTGAAAATAATAAAAAACTTTTATGGCTGTTTACTTTTAATGACGGAATCACTAATCATACCCGCCAAAGATTAATCCAAACAATGAATATGCAAACACTGTACGTGGATTTATATTCTGTCCTGATAAAATCTGCGATACAATTGTTCCTGATGTTGCCACAATGGAACTGAAAATTTTAATCATCAAAAATGAATGTCGAATAATGAAATTTTCATGTTTTTCAGCATTTTACCTAGTGATTGACTTTGTCCTCACTGGATGATTAAACAACTGCTCGAAATAGAATCCTAAAAAGTTATAAATTGGTCTTGAAAGTGCCATTTTCAGTCAATTACTCGATCTAATTGGATGTACTTTGATAAGTGTTTTTATACGACTAAAGTTCAAGTTTCTTTTCTTTTGTGCTTTTATTCAAACGATGTTTTAATTGAAAATGTAATTTATGCAGTCAAGTATTCTGTAGTCGGTTTAGAAACGTTTTCACTAAAGCGTGTCTGTGAAGTTCAAGTTTCGAAGAAAGTCAAGTGATGCGAAATGCTTTTTGAACTTGAGGTAATTAAATATTGATATTAGCTTCCGCGTGGAGCACGGAAGGTTTTTCTTACGGAGACCGTAGTGCTTGATCGAAGATTTTCGCGAAATCTCCATGCAAACACTACATTTGCTTTAACTTTTTTTTAAAGCCTTAAATCAAAAAATAACTTTTTGGAGATTCTTCAGGGCTATTGGGTTTTATAGGTTTTCCAAAGCTACAAAAAATACCAATAAGAATGAAGGAAGCTTTAAAAATGTCCGGTTCCAAACATTTTTTCAAAATATTTGAAAATGGAATCAAAACCGAAAATTGAGAAAATAAAGTTTTTTTTGAAATTTTGGGGACTGGATATGGTCAGTTCCGCAATTTTGAATGATAAATAAAGTTCATTCTAAACCATCCTTTACGATGGCTTAGCATTTGTATTAAAATTCAAACGAAAAGGGTCTCAACGGCTAGTTCCTCACACTCAGAAATGCTTAAAGAGATCAAAAATGCATCCAGAGGCATTAAAGCTGTAAACTGATATACATTCAAAAACAGGAACACAGTCAATATCAGAAAAACTTCCATTAACCTCTTTGTTCAAAAATTTCATTCAAATTTTTTGAAAAATTTCCCTTGTGACGTCACAAATTGAGATTAAAAATCTCAATTGAGATTGAGAAATGAGAAAAAAATCTCACGAGATTTGAAAACTCGCGAGATTTCAAATCAAGTTTTCTCTGAGAAAATTTTTCTCACGAGTTTTTTGGTGAGATTTTGAACACTAATTTATATTAGCATTCTTTATCATTTATAATACCCAGATATGTTTTAAAATGCAATTTAAAGCATTTTTGGTTTGGATCAAAGTAGACTTTTTTCAAAAAATATCGATTTTATGTCTATATTAGCATTCTTTATCATTTATAATACCTAGATATGTTTTAGTGAGCTGAAGTGGCTCGGTGGCGGAATGGTTTAGTACTTCGGTACCTAATTATTGCAATACCGACACAGCGATCATGGGTTCGAGACTGGGTATGGGAAATTTTTCACTTGTTCTTTTTCGAATCATATGTACTGGAAATGAGGCTCACAGCCTTCCTTTGTAGGCTACAGACAGAAATGTCATCAAAGGAGTGGTTCGGATCCCACTATAAATTGTAGGTCTAGGTTTGAGTGCAGTGGTTTGGCGCATCCTCACTCGTTAAACTCTCATTAGCTGCGAATCGCCCTAGCGCACCTCTGGATCACAATTGATCTGAATAGGTAAAGGTTTTTTTTTTTTTTTTTTTTTTTTTTTTTTTTTTTTTTTTTTTTTAGATATGTTTTAAAATGCAATTTAAAGCATATTTGGTTTCGATCAAAGTAGACTTTTTTCAAAAAATATCGATTTTATGTCAATATTAGCATTCTTTATCATTTATAGGACCTAGATATGGTTTAAAATGCAATTTAAATCATTTTTGGTTTCGATGTTTCGATCAAAGTAGGCTATTTTCAAAAAAATATCGATTTTATATCTATTTAAACATTCTTAATCATTTATATTACCTAGATATGTTTTAAAATGCAATTTAAAGCATTTTTGATTTCGATCACAGTAAGCTATTTTCAAAAAATATCGATTTTATATCTATATCAGCATTCTTTATCATTTATAATACCTAGATATGTTTAAAAATGTAATTTAAAGCATTTTTGGTTTTCGATCATAGAAGGTTTTTTTCAAAAAATATCGATTTTATGTCAATATTAGCATTCTTTATCATTTATAGGACCTAGATATGGTTTAAAATGCAATTTAAAGCATTTTTGGTTTCGATCATGGTAGGCTATTTTCAAAAAAATATCGATTTTCTGTCTATATTAGCATTCTTTATCATTTATAATACCTAGATATGTTTAAAAATGTAATTTAAAGCATTTTTGGTTTTCGATCATAGAAGGTTTTTTTCAAAAAATATCGATTTTATGTCAATATTAGCATTCTTTATCATTTATAATACCTAGATATGTTTAAAAATGTAATTTAAAGCATTTTTGGTATTCGATCATAGTAGGTTTTTTTCAAAAAATATCGATTTTATGTCAATATTAGCATTCTTTATCATTTATAATACCTAGATATGTTTTAAAATGCAATTTAAATTAATTTTGGTTTCGATCATAGTAGGCTTTTTCTAAAGAAAATATCGATTTTATGTCTTTATTAGCATTCTTAATCATTTATAATATCCAGATATGTTTTAAAATGCAATTTAAAGCATTTTTGGTTTTCGATCATAGAAGGTTTTTTTCAAAAAATATCGATTTTATGTCAATATTAGCATTCTTTATCATTTATAATACCTAGATATGTTTAAAAATGTAATTTAAAGCATTTTTGGTTTTCGATCATAGTAGACTATTTTCAAAAAATATCGATTTTATGTCAATATTAGCATTCTTTATCTTTTCTAATACCAAGATACGTTTTAAAATTCAATTTAAAGCATTTTTTTCTCGATCATAGTAGGCTATTTTCAAAAAATATCGATTTTATATCATTATTAGCATTCTTTATCATTTATAATACCCAGATATGTTTTAAAATGCAATTTAAAGCATTTTTGGTTTTCGATCATAGGAGGCTTTTTTCAAAAAAATCTCGATTTAATATCTATATTCGCATTCTTTATCATTTATAATACCTAGATATGTTTTAAAATGCAATTTAAAGCATTTTTGGTTTTCGATCATGGGAGGCTTTTTTCAAAAAAATCTCGATTTAATATCTATATTCGCATTCTTTATCATTTATAATACCTAGATATGTTTTAAAATGCAATTTAAAGCATTTTTGGTTTCGATCAAAGTAGGCTATTTTCAAAAATATCGATTTTATGTCAATATTAGCATTCTTTATCTTTTCTAATACCTAGATACGTTTTAAAATGCAATTTAAAGCATTTTTGGTTTTCGATCATGGTAGGCTATTTTCAAAAAATATCGATTTTATGTCAATATTAGCATTCTTTATCATTTATAAAACCAAGATACGTTTTAAAATTCAATTTAAAGCATTTTTTTCTCGATCATAGTAGGCTATTTTCAAAAAATATCGATTTTATATCAATATTAGCATTCTTTATCATTTATAATACCTAGATATGTTTTAAAATGCAATTTAAAGCATTTTTGGTTTCGATCAAAGTAGGCTATTTTCAAAAAATATCGATTTTATGTCAATATTAGCATTCTTTATCATTTATAAAACCAAGATACGTTTTAAAATTCAATTTAAAGCATTTTTTTCTCGATCATAGTAGGCTATTTTCAAAAAATATCGATTTTATATCAATATTAGCATTCTTTATCATTTATAATACCTAGATATGTTTTAAAATGCAATTTAAAGCATTTTTGGTTTCGATCAAAGTAGGCTATTTTCAAAAAATATCGATTTTATGTCAATATTAGCATTCAATATCATTTATAATACCTGGATATGTTTAAAAATGCAATTTAAATCAATTTTGGTTTCGATCATAGTAGGCTTTTTCTAAAGAAAATATCGATTTTATGTCTATATTAGCATTCTTTATCATTTATAATACCTAGATATGTTTTAAAATGCAATTTAAAGCATTTTTGGTTTTCGATCATGGTAGGCTATTTTCAAAAAATATCGATTTTATGTCAATATTAGCATTCTTTATCATTTATAAAACCAAGATACGTTTTAAAATTCAATTTAAAGCATTTTTTTCTCGATCATAGTAGGCTATTTTCAAAAAATATCGATTTTATATCAATATTAGCATTCTTTATCATTTATAATACCTAGATATGTTTTAAAATGCAATTTAAAGCATTTTTGGTTTCGATCAAAGTAGGCTATTTTCAAAAAATATCGATTTTATGTCAATATTAGCATTCAATATCATTTATAATACCTAGATATGTTTAAAAATGCAATTTAAATCAATTTTGGTTTCGATCATAGTAGGCTTTTTCTAAAAAAAATATCGATTTTATGTCTATATTAGCATTCTTTATCATTTATAATACCTAGATATGTTTTAAAATGCAATTTAAAGCATTTTTGGTTTCGATCATAGGAGGCTTTTTTCAAAAAAATCTCGATTTAATATCTATATTCGCATTCTTTATCGTTTATAATACCTAGATATGTTTTAAAATACAATTTAAAGCATTTTTGGTTTCGATCATAGTAGGCTTTTTCTAAAAAAAATATCGATTTTATGTCTATATTAGCATTCTTTATCATTTATAATACCTAGATATGTTTTAAAATGCAATTTAAAGCATTTTTGGTTTCGATCATAGGAGGCTTTTTTCAAAAAAATCTCGATTTAATATCTATATTCGCATTCTTTATCATTTATAATACCTAGATATGTTTTAAAATGCAATTTAAAGCATTTTTGGTTTCGATCAAAGTAGGCTATTTTCAAAAATATCGATTTTATGTCTATATTAGCATTCTTAATCATTTATAATACCTAGATGTGTTTAAAAATGTAATTTAAAGCATTTTTGGTTTTCGATCATGGTAGGCTATTTTCAAAAAATATCGATTTAATGTCAATATTAGCATTCTTTATCTTTTCTAATACCTACTTACGTTTTAAAATGCAATTTAAAGCATTTTTGGTTTTCGATCATGGTAGACTATTTTCAAAAAATATCGATTTTATGTCAATATTAGCATTCTTTATCTTTTCTAATACCTACTTACGTTTTAAAATGCAATTTAAAGCATTTTTGGTTTTCGATCATGGTAGGCTATTTTCAAAAAATATCGATTTTATGTCAATATTAGCATTCTCTATCTTTTCTAATACCTACTTACGTTTTAAAATGCAATTTAAAGCATTTTTGGTTTTCGATCATGGTAGACTATTTTCAAAAAATATCGATTTTATATCATTATTAGCATTCTTTATCATTTATAATACCTAGATATGTTTTAAAA